CCCCCGTGGGAAAGGGCGCGTCGGTGAGGGTGAGTGCGGCGCGACTCGGGGTGCAGCGCTGCCCGGTGTCAGCGGGACCTTTCTGCTGCTGTGCGGCCCGCACGGGGATGCATCGGCCTGTCCCCTCTTCCCAGGAGCAGCTTCAATCTTGAGCCAAGAGGACAACACTTACCATTTTTTTTAAAGATTTATTTATTTGTGCATACAGAACTGGGGTACAGGTCAGAGATGCGGAGGGCGAGAGGCTTCACCAGGGACAGAGCGGGGCGCAGCGGGCGGTCAGGGGAGGGCTGCCGCGCCCTGGGGTCACCGCCGGGGCCGGCGGGGATCGAACTCACGCGGAAGCGGCTTCAGCGTCCCAGTGCTGCGCTCTGACCGGCTGCGCCCCAGGGAGGGCCGCACTTACCATTTTTTAAGGAAAACACTGCTGACAAGCAGAATGCGTCAGGACTATTATTATTATTATTTGCACCCGGGCAAACAATTTGCCGAGGACCAAGCAGGCAGATGAATCATGTAGCGGCAGCTGACGCTCCCATGCGCTCCATCCTGAGCCGTCAGCGGAGCCGGAGGAAGGCGCCGCCATGGCCCGCGACCGCGCCGTTTCCAGCACAGCCGAGGGCGGGGCCCGCGCTCAGCTCCCGCTCGGGCAGGTGCAGGCCGCCGCCAGGGCAAGCTCGGCGCTCCCGGTCTTCCTCCACTTGGGGTGCGCGTCTGGGAGACGCTGCAGTGAGGCGTCTGCGGGCTCGGACGGGCCGGGGGCGTCCTCACCCCAAGCCGCGACCCTGTCTTATGTCCCATATGGACTTCGGTCCTAGCCAGGTGCTTTGACTAGAACAGCCACGTGTGAAATCCGCCTTGACACCATCAAATGCATCCAAATGCAAAAATGGTTGCAAATACAGGAGAGGCCAAAACAAAGATCCAGGAGGAGCCATCTTCGGGGTCCCCGACTCCTCAGGGACCCCCCTCGTACGATGGCTGCCCGCGCCAGGGTCGCCTGCTGTTCCTCTGACGCTGGAAGCAGACCGGGCCCCGCCCCCAGCTGTGGGGGTGGGCGCCGCCTCCCTGGGGGTCTGAGGGCGCCGGGGGTCCGCTCCCCAGCTCCAGCCTCCCGGAGGGCTCCATGGGCCCCTGGCCCCGCGTGGCGCAGCAGCCCCCCAGCCCCCCTCAGGCCCCAGAGCCCCCTGGACCGGGTGCCGACCGCCTGCTCCAGAGGGTCTTTGATGATGGGGTGAGGTCATCTCGGAGTTCGGGGTCCTTGGGTCCACTCTGGGAAAGGTTTCCCCAGAGCTCCCTTCAGCTGCAGGGGTGACATTGTCCGTGAGACAGAGACTCAGTCGTTTGAAGTGCGTTTAGTCAGAAAGAGACCGGAGAAGAAAGGACACTCGCATGGGCGCCAGGGGCGGGCAGAGCTGCCCCAGGAGGGACAGGCCTGCGGAGAGAGGGCTGCGTGAGGGGAGCGCGGCCTCTGCTGAGGGGGCTGGCGCACAGAGGTCCGGCAGATGCAGGTCGCGGCGGGCAGGAGGCTGCGGCCCTGCAGAGGAGGGCGAGGGCGGGCGGGCAGGACAGGTGCGTGGGCACAGGTGGGCAGAGACCGCTGCCCGGGCCGCAGCAGGCCCCGACTGGAGGCGCCCTCCTCCTGAGCCGCGTGTGCGCCCCTGAGTGGGGTCTGAGAGGCGGGAGGCTCCCTGTGCGCGCCTCTCCCTGTCCTGCCTGCGTCTGGGTCTGGGGTCAGGCCCCCGCCAGTTACCTGCTGGTACGGCCGCGTCAGGGTCTCGATTTTGATCTATGTATATAATAGCCGGTTTTCACGTCATTTCGTGCCTTCTTCCATCCCAGTGTGTCCCCGTGGCTTCCCGTCACCAAGTCGCCCGTGTGCCGTCACCGTCGTCCGGTGGCCCCCACCCGCGTTTGATCCCTTTCCCCACCCCACCCCCGCACGATGTCTCTGGCCTACAGCTGTCCACTGTACTGCTGTCCCCGCCCGGCCTTGCTTTCAGGGCGCTGATCCGCTCTTGCGCCTCCTCCCTCCCTCCCTCCCTCCACCGTGGGAGCCAGACGCAGCGCCTGGCCCGGCCTCGGCTCGGCTGGGCTCCGGCTCCGGAAGCGCCGGGTGGCAGGTGCCAGGGCGCCCTGGGGGGTGGGGGTGGGGCCGGCCTGAGACCGGCGGTCCGGCCTGGACGGCTGCTGAGCCCCTGGCCCGCCAGCTCAGGGTTACCGTGGAACGTTGGGTGCAGCAGGCGGGAGCCGCCTGGCCAGCTGCCCCCCAGCCCCCCGGCCGGGGCTCCCCCTTGCTCTGGTAACTTTCCGGTGCAGGCTTCTTGCCTTTGCCGTCTGTGGTTGCTGTTTGTCCCGATTTCCGCGGCCGCCGAGGCAGTGGGGCCGAGCAAGGGGGTGCTGGAGGGAAAGTGTCTCTCAGCAGGCTCCGGTTCCGAGCGTGGGCACCCGGGTGCGAGGCCGGTGGTCACCTCGGGTAGGGGTGCGGGGGTGGGTGTCATCACGGCTTCCGGGGGGGGAGGGCTTGCGAGAAGGCCCCAGCCCATTAGACCCGCCGCCCCCTCAACCAAAAGCAGCCAGCCATTCCCACCACACCATCTATTTGATAAAAAAATCAGTCTGGATTGTTTCGCTGGTGGGAGGAGTCTGGCCGCGCAGTTCTGCCCCCAGAAGGAGAAAATCACTGGAGACGACTGAAGTAAAGGGGCTCCAGGCAGTTGACGCGCACGACCTTCCCCCGGGGGCCCCCCAGCCAAGCCATCGCCCCACATCTTTCCCTTAGAAGAGTCGGGCCTGGCCTCAGCCCCTGTCTGAACCCCCGTGGGCCAGGGCCCCCCTTCCGCTCCCAGACTCCCCTCTCCCTGCGAAATGGCCTGGCATTCCCCCAAACGGTCTCACCTATTGTTAAATGAGTCTGTCGATCTGTGTAACAAATGTAGCCCCGACTGTGTAAAAGGGGTCCCTGAATCAACTGGGGACCCCGACTTCATACAGGAGCTTCCTGCCGGGTCCCCATACAAAGCAGTCAAGTCCTCCCGGCCGCACCCCCATCACGGCTGCTGAGGCTCAGCACCGGCAGTCACAGCAGGCGGCAGGGGCCGTCGCCCGTCATCTTCGGGAGCCATCACCCGCGTCTGTCACACCAGGCAGAAAAGTGGGTTCCAGCGGCGGTTCTCCGCCTCCCCGGGCCTGCAGACGGCTGGGCTCCCCGAGGGCCGGTGGGGGCCCTCTGGCCTCGCCTCCCTCAGGGTCAGTGAGCCTCGCCAGGAGCGCAGAGTAACCCTCCTTTGGCCGGGACCCCTGGCTGCCGGCCCCGCGGGGGGGGGGGGCAGTCTCCACAGCGCCCCGCAGGTCAGGCCTGGGTTATGTCCCGCTGGGCTGTGTCCTCGGGGCAGGGACCAGGGTCTCCTGGGGGCATGGGGATGAGGCCAAGATGCTACTGAGGGCAGTGAGTGTCCTGACCCTGAAGACTCCCTCCTGCCTCCCAGGGCTGATGCCACCAGTACTAGGGTCCCCAGGCCGGCTGAGGAGCCACAGCCCCCCAGCCCCCCACAGCAGCCCTCAGGGCAGGGCCCCGGGGGCCTGTGAGTGGCGATGGGGGTCCTCCAGGCCACGCAGAGGGGTGCCAGGCAGGGGAAGGCCCCCAGGGCCCACCCACAGCCCTAACCCAGGAAGGAAGGGGCCAGCCCCGCGCCCCGGGTCAGGAACCCCCGCCCCCCAGCGGATGTGGGCGGCGGAGCCTCAGGAAATAGGAACTTGAGGGAGCAGACTGCCCAGGCGCACACCTGCAGGGACACCCGCGGGGCCTCAGCAGTGCCCGCACTGACCGCCGCCAGATGCGCAGGGGGCAGGGGCAGGGGCAGGGCCGGGCGGGCGCCGATCAACACCCAGCCCGACCGCCTGGTCTGGTCCCGGGCAGAGCTGCGGCCTGCGCCTACTCCGTG